TTCGCCTCCTCTCTGTGGTCCCTGAAAGCAGCATGGATTGGGACAGTAGGAAGTGCAGGAAGGAGGGCAAAGGTGCTTGACTCAAATCAGAATTGGAGTTTCCTGCTCTGTCAAAGATGTTCCCACTGGCAGTGAAGGCTTCCCATGAAATTAAGCTTGATCTGTGGTAACTTTAGACCTAGCTGGAAGGAGATAATGAAGGTGTCACCCAGGAGGGTATAAAGTAGTTCCGCCAACCACAGAGAGCAGAAGTGACCAGTGTGTGTTTTGTCTAAGCTACTGAACTATAAGCTGAGATGACTTTACTAGATGTAGTCAGAGTTTCTAATTATTTTAATTTGTATATGCATATAAACATCAAAATATTTAGGCTTTATGTATAGTAATATTAATAGCTATTTTACCTCTTTCCATAAAATTACATGTGGATATAATTCTAAAGTAGTTTTTTATACCCTAAGCTAGTTTTTAAAAAATATCATTATTTTTAATATTCATTACTGACTTTATATTCTGAAAAAAAATCTTGTCTAGCTATATATATATATTAACTTTAAATAACTTAAAAATAAACAATACATTATATACCAAAATAGCCCCATTTAAAGCCATGTAAGTGAAAAAGTTGAGTTTTCAAGAATAAACTAGATCCTCTAAAGGTATTTTTTTCATAATTTTAATATTAAGCATATCATCTTTTCTGTCTATGCCAAATATATACACACCACTCTTGGTAATTTATGTCAGAAGTACTCATTATGAAAAAATGGGTTGGTTCATTTCTCTGTTTTCACTTGTTCTGCAATGGAAAATTTATTCTAAATCTAAATAAATTTGCTCCCAAAAGATCTCCCCAAAGGAGATGGCATAACCAAAAAACATAATGATACACAAGATACTCAGTGCATGCAACCTCGTAGTTTCTAATAGTGGTAGAAAGTAACCTTCAAGATTATCATAATCCATTTGGACTTACAGACAGCTATCACATAAAATTAACACACTAAAGGAAGAAAGTCATTTGAGAAACTTATCCTTGCTAGAATACCTTCGCCAAAATTCCCATAGGAAATAAAGCCATCCAGCCATAAAGAACAGAGGGCACTTGGTACCCAGCACTGACCTTAAAGTGCACACATTTAACACTGCTCTGAACTCAAAGTAAACTCTAACAAGTTGAAGAGCTCACAATTTCTTTACTCATTAAAGGTCACGCTATCATCCACAGCTGGAAGAATTTCTTCTAAAAAGAACGTCTTGATGGAGGCAAGACCAGAGCTATTTCCAGCGCCTAGCTCTGCTTTCTGCTGCTGTGAGTTATTAGCAGTAGTTTGGCTAAAACAATAAGAACAGAGAGACTGGCCCACTTAGAGAACTAGATTCAGATGTTTTTGCACTTATGTTAGTCAGAAGTATGTTTAAAAATTAAGTGAACATAAAGTCTGCAGGAAATAGAGATTCTGTAACTCACAAGTAACAAGGGTAAATCAGTCGACTAAAAAGTGAATGTCTTTCCAAAGCCAGTGCAAGAGGTAAAGAGGGGCTCAAGCCTTTTGGAAATTTGACTCTTTTACAGGTTTTGATCCAGCCACTTGATGTAACTATTCCTAGTCCGAATTCCCACTGAGAAGTTGGTGGGCCAGCTGGTGAAAATCATGCACCCATGGAAGCCATCCTCAAAGTGATCAAGGGTCACCTCCACACCTGCACTCTCCAAACGCTTGGCATACATGATTCCATCATCTCTTAGGACATCGTGCTCACAGGTCAGAATATAGGTCTTTGGGAGGTGCCGTAGGACTTCCTGTTCTGCGATGAGTGGGGCCGAACGGGCATCCAGCAGCTGAGGGATCTCCTGGACAATCCTGGCGTTGCCGGTGGTCTGCACGACAGGCTTGTAGTTCTTTGTGATGGAAGCGGGCAAGAGAGATGTCCAGTTTAGACGGGCCCTGAGGGCAGCAGCCTCTTCCACATCAAGTGAAGTGTGATTGTTAACTATCATTGCCTGGACAAAATCATAGTTGCCCTTGAAGTAGTCCACCCAGTACTTGACCATGACATAGCGGGGTAGGATTGGGGTGTTCATGTTTTGCTGATAAGAGGGTGTGTTAAAATCTAGTGCTTGAAGAACTGGGTAAATTAAAGCTTGCACTCTGAGCTTGTTTTTTAGGTTGTCATCTTGATTAAACTGAGGAAGAAAAGCAGACACATTATTTCATTTTGAGTGGCTCCTTTCACAGAAACCGTATCTTATAAAGTAGTCTAATGCTTTACTTGGAATCAAAGAGGCATTTAAGGGGTACATTTTTACCAGGCATGGTATTAGGTAATGTAGTTTAAGAAAATAAGTCCCCATTGCCACCACCACTACCACCCTTCAAGTTGCTGGGTATTTTCTAAGAAAGGTGTGATGTTTGTGACTCATTGTTTTGAGTGAACACTTTATTTTTTTAATAACAATTTTTATTATCTTCAACATACCACCAGACCATTCTTGGGCTATATATGCTTTTTGATACCATTTTCCTTTTTAATGGAGACACTGGGAATTGAACCCAGGACCTGCTGTATGCTAAGCATGTGCTCTACCACTGAGCTATTTCCCCACCCCTTTGAGTCAACACTTTAAAGGTGCATGATCTCTTAGGTCTTTAAAACCCCATCAGCACTTTACTTGTATCTATCCTTTAGCATAATACACAGATCTTGTTGGGTATTATGGACGGATAATGTGTGAACCTTATTTAGTTTTGTATTCCCTAGCACAAAAGGGCAATGGCTAACTAGGGAGAAAAAACTAGTCTGATTCTTCCAGAGGAGAGGAGTAGGAAAAGCTAAATGAACAGATGATGGGGCTCCACAGTGTTTTAATAGGACCTCAGAGTATCTCCTCAGATGCACCTTTGGTCCTCATGGTTGGTGAGAGAGTGGAAATTTAAATAGCGCTAGCACTGCACGCTCCATTCTACTTAATGAGCGTGTGCCCAAGAGTGAGCTTGAGGTGGGTATCAGAATGAATCCCCTGCCTCAGCAGACCTCGATTCTCCTAGGCCTCCCCAAAATGCAAATATATTGCCTTATTTGTAATTCTGGTGTCTAAAATGATACATTTTTCATGTAACATTTAAAAGGCAGCTTACTAGGTCACTGTGTTTCACAGGCAACTAAACAATCTTCAAGGTAACTTTAGCTGTATAATTTTGTTTCACACTGGACTTTAGAACCCCATCCCCAGGGAAGTTATAACTGCTCTGTAAAAGCAAGAGGAAATGATCAGTTAATAGTACTATTAATGTGTGTCAAGAACTGTATATACATCATCTCACTAAGTCCTGGCAAGAGCCCTGCAATCAGATGGCATGATCCTCATTTTCCTGAGGCTCAGAGAGGTTAGAGGACTTGCCAGCACCCCACAGCTCTCAAAGGGGAGCTCTATCCCAGTTCTGTCTGCTGTAAAAGCCCATGATGCTCACCCCACGGCACCAGGACTTCCTTCTTACAGCACTGGACACGTGGATAGCAAACCCACCAGTGCCACGCAGAGAACCAAGTTCTTTAATTACAGCAAAAGAGAAGAAATCAAGGCACACCACAAATGAAAAGGCAGACACTATTTGAGAATATGCCAAAAGAAATTTGGAGGTAAGAAGACCGAGATGCTATTCTTAAAGTATTTAATCCGTAAAAGGAAGAAAACGTATTTATCTTTGAGTTCACGCAGCTGCCAAAAATTTGGGCTGTGCTAAGAGAGCTAGACGGAGTTTTCAAAGAATTTAATCAGGTAAAGTTCAGATTAACTTGTATTATAACATTTAAAGTGGCTGAACCATCTGACTTTTTCTTTTATATTAAAAAAAACCTTTGGGAAATGCTTTTCCATTTTTAAAATTTGGGTCAAAGTTTAAGGAAACAATCTTAGCAACTGGAATTTAAGCAAAAATGTCCTGTTTTGCAAGTCCAACGTGGAAAAGGAGCGGAGGATACTCACTTCCCACACATATCCCTGGGGAGTGAGGGAGCCCTCTAAAACGTCCGTCCTCCTCATATTAAGTGTAGTCACGGCCTTGTAGTCAAGCACTCAGGGATGACACTTCTTTCAATAACCCCTCTTTCTACTTCAGAAGGATCTCTGAGAGCTTTCCAAGTGCAGTCTTCTGCATAACTTGGTCCCCGAGTGACCAGCCCACCCATCTAGACCTTTGCCATGCCTAGTGGACAGTGTGCTGGTCTGTTGAATATTATCACCTGCCTTCCTTCCTCCAACACCTCAGGGCAGTCTGTTACCTGTTGGCCCAGGGCAGCAGCCAAATTCCCACCAGCACTGTCACCAGAAATGCCAATTCTGCCTGGGTCAACTGAATACTTGTGTAAGACTTCCGGCTGCAGGAAATACTTTGTGGCACGTACAACATCGTGAATCTGCGCAGGAAAATAAACCGTTGGAACCAGCCTGTATCTGTGAAGACAGAAAATTGTATTCATTTAAGGACTTCATCAACTCTTCACAGACCATTGCAAGTTTAAAGGAAAACTGGTTCTTTTGAAGCCAGAAATAAACAGATAAGAAATAATATAATAAATGTAAAAATAAGCCCTTCATTTTCTTGCAACTCAAATACTTAGTTTAAAAATGTAGTGACTTTGTAACAGTAATTTTTACTATCAGCCATCAAACCAAACAAAAAAGTAAAAACAAACACCTGCAACCACCACCAATGCATAAGCTTTGAAGTAAAAGGCAGATGTTGATTATTAAAATATAGATAGAATCACAATAGATTCTGGAGTTTTATTTCTGGGAGTCAGTGTTCCATGCACAACACCTCTGGGTTAGAAGGTGACTCAGCAGCAATGACCACTTCATCGGTCCCAAGTTTAATGAGTCCGTATGGCATTCTGCATGATTCACTTGGTAAATACAGTAAAACTGTACTCCACTGAAGAGGTCATGCCAGCCTGACAGTAAACTCAAGCAATGCATTTGCTCCCTGAAAGGCTGGAGCGGAAAGGTCAGTTGTCAACCAGCAAAAGGGAAGCCAAGTCCCCAGCTGGCCCAGGGCAGGCCCTCTGGGGCTTCTCCTACCGCCCCACTTTGCAGGATCAGAGTCCCTTTGGGATCCTACTCTGTACACTTAGTAGGATTCATATTCTCTTAAGAGCCCCCAAAACCCTGGTTTTGTCAAATGCCCCACCTATAATATCATCTTACAGATCCACGTTGGTAGTCTTGGCTTAGAGAGCCCTCTCAGTCTCTACCCTCCCTCCTTGCTATTATTACTTCTCACTCACCCTTCAACCATTCCTTGAGGGCTTGCCTCCTTCAGGCAGCCTTTCCTTGACTATAGCTCTGCTTGCCTCTGGGGCTGAGCTGGCTACCATCCCTTGATACTTCTATGTGCTGGGGTATACTGTGGTTCATATTGCCTCATATTAACATGATTTCTTTATGCATTTCCTCTAAAGAGTGTGTTCTCTGATATCAAGGACTGTTTCCGGTGTGTATCTATCAGTGTGCTGGGCACATAATCATCCATCTAGTAAAGCTTTTCTGAGTTATTAACATACCTTCATTTTGCAAAGGAGGAAACTGAGGCATAGAAAAGTTACCTGATTTATAACATAAGTCAAATACATATCAAAACAAGATAGGAAAGAAACTAATTACTTAATTAAAATCTAATAACAGTCAGCTAATACCCTTTGGATTTCCAATTTGTAATTAGAAACTAGTTTTTCCCATACTACTCTATACAGGGCTATTTATTTCCCCTATCTAAATTCTAGGTAATTAAATATCTAGACATTCGTGCAGACGCATTGACAAACATTTGTGAAATACTTTGATAAGTAGTGAATGTGGATCTGGTCATTCAGGAATTACTACATTTTAAAACACTAAATGCAATAACAAATTCCCTTAGTGGTTGCCTTGTAACAGATAACATAAGTTTTATGATTCCTTTTTTTAAGCTTTGACATCTGTGATAATCAACTAATCATCAGAAATATTTTCTTCTCCAGTTGATTTTCACTGTCTTAAAGCTGCTGCTACATCGTTCCATTTAATAATGGGTGAATGGAGGAGTACATGATTTTGTCCACTAGGTGGAGTCATCTCATATGAGTCTATTTACCCTCAGTTCTGGGATGAGGTCTGTTTTTAAATTTCAGTATTACCAAGCTAAATTCTTAATTCTTTAGAACAAATGCACTTCATGGCTCAAGGTGTGAAAACAAAGGCTGTTTTGTCTCAGAAGGATTCCAGATAGCATAATAGACGGCTTTCCTGCCGCAGGAGGTCAGAACATAGTTTACTAGAATACACATGTGAATTAAATTTTCAGATGTTGTTTCACAAAAGGTCTTAATGACTTCAAATCAAGAGAAACTGGTAATCTAAAAAACATGCTACTGCCTCAATTGTATGAGTCAATTAATAACTGGCTCAGCTAACAGAGTAAACATATTTAAAAACAAGTATGTTATGATGCAAGAGTCTTCCTGGCGCCCTAAAAGATCTGTCTGCTAGCTCCCCTTCCCCTTATCCTTCTCATTCTGGAAACATTCTCTAGTTTTATTCAATAAGAAGGGACATTATTTTCATGGACTGGAGAATGTAGTGAAACCAGATATTTCCAAGGTCACCTAGTTTAAGAAGAGCCTTCCACATAACTTGAAACTGACCTGAGAAGTATAACCAAAGTTATGCAACATCTTTACAGATACAGAAAACTGAGGGTCAGGAGGAAATTTATGAGTGTCATAGCCAATAAAGCATGCATAAATACATTTATCTGCTGCTTTTGTTCAAAGCTGTGTCCCCTGCAAAGTACTGAAAGAGGATTCTGCCTTAAAAAAAACAAATGTAGATCTTGAGTTAAAGCACCTGATGAATTTGTGGCAAATACAGCCTCAAACTGCCCAGTTCACTGCAGGATAGATGACTCTGCAATGTTGTTTTCTGCCTACCAATTACCGCACATGCCTCCTACTAGAGGAACAAAATTCAGTGTACACTCAGGAATGAGGTTTAATCAATTTAATAAATATGTACACTCTATAAAAATTATCTTTTTCTTGCTAGGTGAGGCAACTTGCCAGGTTCTCTGCAGATGTTTCACTCAAATCTCAGAGCAAAGCTGTGGGTTTAAGGATGAGAACATGAGGCTCAAGTCTACAACACCTGGTAAGTGGCAAGGCTGGGATCTGAATTCACAACTGATTTCATAATCCACGTGCCTGCCCCCTTTTAAAATATTCTCATTCTTCAAAACCCAGAGCCTTTAAATGTGTGCGTGTTCTCATTACCTCACCAAAGCAGTAAATTCTCAAAACTGTAGATGTCTGACATCCCAGAACTTCTCTCATGACTTCTATGTTTTTGCAATATTCTCAAAACAAACCACTGAGCACAGTTCTTGGCACATGGTATATTTTTAATAAGATATTTTTCTTCATTGCCAACAAAATTTTAAGGATTTACTTTATACTTTTTACTCATAAAATGCATGGCATGTAGCACTATTATGGTGGGAAAACTAATAAACCATATGCCTTTCAAAACATTAAAAAAAGAAATTGTTCCTAACTCATCTACTCTTTGGGCACATCTCCAAGGACTGCTTGTATTCTCTGTGTAGCTCAGAGCTTCTCAACTCTGTGTGCACCTTAGGATAATCTTGGGAGCTTTACAAAAAACACTGAGGTTTGACTCGCTCCACAAAACATTCCAATTTATATGATCCGAGGTGGGGCCCAGCACAGCTATATTTGAAGAAAAGTTCCCCCAAGTAATTCTCATGTGCAGCCATGGCTCAGAAATATCACTGCATCCAGCCATACTGTCACTCTTCCTTTAACACTTCTCCCCATTCCCATTGCCAGTGCATCCGGCCTTCTCTCCATCCCTCATGCCCTTCCCCCAGCAATTCCTCATCAAATGTTCCCATCCTTTTAAGTCTCATCTCAAATGCCAGTTCTTCTATGAAAACATCTAAGAACCCAGCCAAAAGTAACTCTCCTTTCTTGGAGCCCTCAAAGTCTTTCTTACAATCGGTCATAACAGACATGTCAGCTTCCCCTGAGAATAGATGGGAAGTCAGAATTACACACTGAAGAGTTCAGTGTATACCCACCTGAAATAAGCAGCACCATTTCCATGTCGATTACTTTATCGCCCACTTATTACTGACCAGGGAGATGGCGCAGTGCTCAGAAAGACTGACAAATTTCTCCTTAAGTCAAAGGCAATACACAAGCCCAGAGTTGAAGGGAAATGTGCGTTGCTTCAAGACTATGGAAATTGAAGCCCTGAATGACACTAATGTTCTAAGAGCGCTGTAAAATGCATTCTCCCTCAAAATAACCTAACCTGAAAATGCTGTGACAGTCCTCTGCAGTGGGCAAGGACACTGAGTTCTCTTCATGTAGTGCCAATTAGGTGAAAGGTACATGTGATATTCTGGAATGAAATTATACTCCTATTTGATTGAGGAGAGACAAAATCGCATTCTGTTTTTGCCCTCCTCCCCCTCCCTTTCTCATTAGCTCCCAAGAAGAGCTAGGTAGATTCATTCTTGAGAACACAAAAAGGTTAATATTCTCCTCAGTCATAAAGAACCCATATGTTCAGTAGGAGTTATCTGAAACAAATCAAAAATTACATTCATATTGTGCTGTTTGAGGGAGACAACGCCAGAGGAAGAATTTATTTCTCTAACAGGTAGAAGCTTCCTTTCCATTAAAAGAACATAAAATTGCACAGAAGTGGAAGGATTGTGAATGGATAATTGTTTCCCTTTCAGTTTGCACAATGAGGTTTGTGGATAAAGGCTGAAGAAGGGTCTACCTTTCTGTTTCTACTCTCAAAATTGGCCCTTGAGATTTACCAGTCATTCAGCAAGGAAGAGCAGAGCTTAGCAAAGACTTAGCTGATTGGATAATAAGTACAGTCAAAAGAACTGACAGACGTCAGGATGCATCACCAAAATCCTAGTAGAGACTGAGCCTAGAAGTGAGATCCATTTAAACGAGGTGATTCTCTGACTCTGTTTACACCTTAACGAAAAAGAACATGAAAATGAATATATGTATGCATATACATGACTGGGACATTATGCTGTACATCAGAAACTGACACACTGTAACTGACTATACTTAAGTTGATAAAAAAAAAAAGACCTCCTGAGATGTCTCCATGTACACAGCAGGCAGCTCCTCAGGCCTCCGTCCATTCAAATGCAAACCTAGCCTTTCACCTCAAGGGGGAACACAGAGCCAGGGCATTCCCTCAGGTGGCTGCAGAAGCTGAATCCCTCTGACTCCTTTCTCTGTGTGACTCAGAAGCCAAACATAGCTCCATAGGGCTCAGGTGTGGGTGGAACTAGGCTGACCATCCTCACTGTGGTTTGTAGCACAGGCTTCCTGCCGAGCTCCAATTCCACCCCACCCTTGCTTCCACCCCCGAAATTCTAGAAGACCTAAACCACAAGAGAGAAACCAGTAGATTTTTTATGTTAGTATAAAACAGAGCCAAGGAGACATTAGCTTAGTCTAAAAAGGAGGAATTCATTGGTTAATGATCATGAAGGAACTGAAACAACCTACTTCTTACAAGAAGCCACAATATTATCTTTTTGTAGCATTAAATTATTTGTGATGCTGGCCTTTAGAGTCACTAATAAGGTGACCTGGACTGAGTAAAAGGAAATCTTCCCTTTCTTGGAGGGGAACCCTTAGGAATTGGTCTGCCCACCTTCTAGGGTTGCTCAGGTGGGGTTGATGCGTGAGGATTTCTCCACCCAGTACTTGCAGGAAGAGTAGAAAAGGAGCAGAGGGAAAGTCACAGGTAAGTCACCCTCGCTCCGTGTTTTTCAGGGTATCTTGTTTGAACAACTATTTATCGATGTGTTTGAACACTTTGCTTCCTAGAAGCTCTGTGATTTTGTCAGCTTGCTCTCATCTAATTTTATGGATGAACAAGATAGAGGCATAAAAGCCCCACTGCTTATATCTCTGTTAGCAGCAGACTAGGATACGTGATCCAACTCTTCTTCTGTCTACGTGAGCAATGTTCTTTAGAGCTCTATGCGTAGTGCCACCTGTTTGACATTTGGTGGAAGGAAAAGGTCTCCATCTACACAAAATGGAGAGTTTACAAGTGTAGTAAAGGCTTAATTAAAAGCAAAACACAACTTGAAATCATTTTTCACAACCAAAAAAAGCAATGTAAATGCCTTGTAGAATTTAATAACATCCAACATGCCTACTTTATTATCATGCATTTTATCTTCTTGTAATTGAAATATAGATATAACATTATATTAGTTTCAGGTGCAGGGCATAGTGATTCAACATTTATATACATTATGAAACGATTGCCACAATAAGTCTAGTTACCACCTGTCACTATACACAGTTAATACAATATTATTGACTATATTCACCATGCTGTATATTAGCATTTTATCTTCTAAAAAGATAAATTAGATCTTCCTTTTCCCTATTGTCTTATGGTTTCAGTATTGTGTTTTATTATATAAACTACAGGTAAAAAGGTATCATGTTATAGCGAAACTGCACTGAAATTTATGAAAATAAGCTTATGAATATATACTTCCCATATTATGTAAATGAGTATATATACAAGTATCTTGGATAAGATGAATGCTTTCATTTATTTAACAAATACTTATTGTGCAATTAATATGTAAAAACAGCAAAGTGTGTAGAAGCTACTGAAGTTATAACCTATTTTTATAGCTTGAGATCTTTGTCTACCTTGGTCACTGGGTCTCTCCCCAGAACCTTGAGCCAACACCAGTGACATGAACTCAACTCCTCATGTTCCTTTATGTGAAGTGATTCCATCAACAGGGCTCCCCCAACTCTGGCCTACCAGCTTTCTCAGATTATATATAACCTTCTGCAAGGCCACATGAAGCAAAGCCATGCCACCACTACCCACTTCTGTTAGCCTGGAGGATAAGGAGCCACTGTCCCTAGGCAGCCTCCCTGCTAGGAGAAGGAATTCCAGGAGAATCAAGGGTCCATCATCCTCCTGAAGGTTCTCAGGATCATCCATCCTTATTTCTTATTTTCCTTAGTCATCACCAGAAGTATTAAGTCTCTCCCTCTGTCTCCTCTCATATTTCATTTCCTTAATGCTCTCCACCTTCTCCCTTCCTCCCAAGCCCTCTCATTACGCCACTTTGCACTTCCATGACCAACTCACTCTGTCTAACTAGGTTCTGCTCATCCTCAGGAGTTTGAGTCAAACCTCAATTTTGACCCTTTAAACTAGGTAAAATCTTACCTGTTAGATGCCCCCATCACTACCTCCCTGTCTTCTTCACATCACTTATCATACTTAACATTACTTGTTCAAGATTTGCTTTCTCACCTAGATTGTAAAGTCCATGAAGGCAGAAATTATGTCTATCTTACACAAACTGTTGTGCCACCAGAGTTTAACACAGTAGCTGGCACATAACAGGAATATAATAGGTATTTATGAAATAAAAGAAAGAAGAAAGAAGTGAGTCATGAGAAAAAAATATGGTCCTACATTAGACCTTTGAGCATACTTTCCAAGGGAAACATCATGATCACAAGGATTCTGGCTATTCTTCAAGTAGAGGATAAGTTATATGGCTCTTTGTGGGGTGGCTAGCCTGGGTGGGTCCTAGTCACCTCAGCTCATTGTTTCTGCAGAGTGAGCTGTGAGTTCCAAACATATATTGATAAATAGATGTATAAGTTTTCTATTCTATGGGATAGAGCACTAACCCTCCAGACATATCTAGTGCTTTAGGGTATCCGAAGCCCCTTAATCTCTTTTTTTTCTATTGAAGTATAGTTAGTTTACAATGTTGTATTAATTTCTTGGTGATTTATTGTAAAAGGATACAACTCAGGAACAGCCAGATGGAAGAGATGCAGACGGCAAGGTATGTGGAAGGGGCACAGAGCTTCCATGCCCTCTCCAGGTGTGCCACCCTCCCCAAATCTATGTGTTCACCAAAGGAAAGCTCTCTGATCCCTGGAGGCTTTATTACATAATCACAATTAAGGGGCGAGGCTCAGTGGTAGAGTGTGTGCATAGCATGCATGAGGTCCTGGGTTCAA